GTGTAATAAAAATCATAGATGTCTATATAAAAGAAATTTACCGGCACAATTCTCCTTGGAAAGATTCTGATCTCAAAAGTCCCCCAGAATTCTATATTATAATGAGACCTATGAAAAATTCAGAATATTGTTGCAATAAAGTAAAACTCACTGAGTTAATAAATCGGCAGAATTGGCCGGAATTTGGTTTTGGAGCACTTTGTGGTTTTAAATTGTCTTCACAATTATTGAGGTTTGATCCTAGCCCTTCTTCAACAATTAATTGAATGCATATTCCTAAATGTTTAAACTGTGAGCTTTTGATTTCAACAAGTCGCTGACAAAGTTCATTTCCTCAACTTTCCTCAAACTTATGTCCCCGGAAGTGTATTCTAATCGTCAAACGAATCATTTTTTTCCCAGAAGTTCATTTAAGCCATAGATATTGGAAACATTCTCTCTGAAACTAAACCAATTCAGAGAAAATGGAATTGAAATATGCAGCTAGACCACATTGGCATCAAAAGACAGAAATTAACAACATGAGGGAAGAAACAACAGAATGAGTGATGATGCAGGAGATCCTGCAGTTGATATAAAAGACTTAGCTACTTATCAGCACTCAGAAACAGAATATGAAGGTGACTGGCATTATTTGGTAAACCTATAAATCAACCAAATGAGTCAGAAAATGCATACATCAAAAAAAAAAATTACGGAGGCACCGAAATGCAAGTTAAGCTAGCAGAACGACCTTGGATAGGGAGAAACAACTCAGTTGAACTTACAGGGTATCATAATAATCCCCTCTACTAGGAGAAAAAAGAGAGGAAGAATTTAATCACAAATAACTATTTTCCAGTCTGCATCATTTCTAATATAACATATTATCCTCTCACATCATTCTTCTAACATTTGTAAAATTAACACGTAGCTTTCAAAGATGGTGGAAAACTCAAAAGAGATATACTTTTAAGAAAAGTAACTAAGGTTTTATTCAATAGATTTTCCTAGGACTGGGCAAATCTCCCGAACCGAATCGACCGAACCGAACTGAATCGAACCCGACGGTTCTTGTCAAATTAAATACCTGAACGGGCATCTAAATTGAGAACCGACGGGTACAGCTCGGTTCTCGGTTCTAGACCAAAAATCGAAGAACCGAATCTTTCTAATTTTTTTTATATTGAGTAAATCAATTTATTTTAATTTTAATTTTTTCTCAACAAATTAATAAATTAACAATTTCTAAATCCAAATTTTTGGCCCAATAATTTGTTTCATTTCTAATTTTTTAATTTTGGCCCCATTGCCTATTTTATTGTTTCATTTCTTAGCCCAACAAGATCTAATCCACTAAATAACTTTAAACACCTACACTAAAGTGCATAACGTTGTCTCGATTCTCGCACTCACTCTACTAGCCTCGCTGACATTCCAAAACCTATACAATCATCGGTCAATACTGTGACCTCCGATCGAAGCTGCAACCTTCGCTGATCGAAGTTTTGATCGTAGCGATCATTTGAACAAGGTAGTCTACTAGTCTATGGCATTCCAAAATCATTGAATGTATCATTAGTTGTATTTATATAATGTTGTTATAAATGTTAAAAAATTGAATTATAGTACAGAACCGAACCGAACAGAACCGAACCCGAATGGTTCCATAATTATATTTGGACCCGACGGTTCTATTTACTAGATACCCGAAAATTTTGGTTCAGTTCGGTTCTAAAAAGAATCGAATCGAGCCGACCCGCGCCCACCCCTAAATTTTCCAGTATTTTATTAGTTGTTTACTTTTAAAATTGGATAATTATGCTAGGAAACATAATTAGAGTTTTAGTTAATAGATTTCCTATTATTTTCCTACTTAAATTAGACTAGCTTAAACTCGATATAAGGGGGCCTCATGCATTGTAATAATTAGACATTGAAATTGAATAAAAATTAATATTTTCTTCCTTCAAATTCTCTGATCAACTGAAGCAAATGTTAAGTCAAGTTTGGTGTTGTTAGTGCCATGAAACTTTGTGCTCCTTTAGCTACTCTTTTAAGCAAATTGCATCATCAGGTAAGAATCTGATTTTCAAAATACAAAAACTGGAAAAACCAGCTATAAAGAATTAAATAGTGGACGTGAATTGCATCCCAGATTTCAACAGTTACAATTTTCTGTAACCGCCACAAAATGGCAAATAACAGTGAGCTTCTCAGGCCAAAGAAATACAGATTACGAACTTGAGCAGCGCAACACATCAGAAAAAGGGAAGTGATACGTTCAGTACGGTGACTAACCATGACTCTGTAAGGATGATTGCTTTTGTGAGGATGCACCTCCGCTCCGACAGAAAAGCATTCCACACACAGGTCAAAATCAGGACACATCACACATTTGATGCGAATCTTCCCTGAGATGTCTTTATTGCAATAGTTACAGTGGTACAATGCCTTTTTACCATCCTTCATTCCGGGAACTTTTTTCATACAAGAAAGAAAATAAGCTTCAGTTACTAAAATCAAGCTACAATTTTCTCATGCAAGTAAATATGTAGAACATAGTCATATGAACGAGTATGCATACTACCATAGTGCATAATGTATATCCATACCAGTAGTCACAGTTTCAGTATTCTCCATGTTTTGAGCTGTCCGTTTTCTCTTTGAACGACTGGGGTTATGACAAGAAATTAATAAATAAATGTTTACAGGCATTCAAAAGATCAAATATAAAAAATTGAAAACATATAAAACTATGGCAGAGCAAACCCAACCAACATATGACAACTGTGAAGGTGACACATAAAAAATAAAATACACAAACAAAACTCATGTCCTATGGAATAGGATAGGCTATTAGTGCATGTTTAGTAGGTAACTAAATTAAAAGTTAGATGATTATAAACTGTGGATAATAGGTGGATTAGAGTTATGTGTGGGTAAAAATTAAGTTTGACCAAAAGTGGTAAAATAAAAAATAAAAAAACTAACAAGCATGCTTTTAATCACCCAAAAAGTATTTATAATTGAACCAGAATCCGACACCACTATATTATTCATGCAAACATGTATATATAGCAGACAACACCAAAAAGACGATTATCCTAGACAAACTTAACCATCCAGCAGTAGATATTGATTGATACGCAACGTACTAATTAAAAGAGAACTTAACACTAAATTATTTAATACCTTCGAAGTAAAACAAAGAAACTGTTTAAACTAAAACCACAGCATGAAAAGTAGCCATACTGCCACGGTACAAAAACAGTATTTTTTTTTTTTCAAATAAATAATCTGCTACATGAACTTTTTAAATATTGTTGTGCGTCATTCTCCCTAGCTTTAGAGATAATTCACCCTCAAATTTCGTCATGAATCTTGAGAAACGACCTGGAAACATTCACCAAACTGTCTTGAACTTCATGGAAGGATTCTAGATCCAGTTTGTCTAACTCGGTTCGCTTCACGGTTCTTTTAGCGAGTAGATTATTATTATTTATTTTGTGAAGATTCACTGGGCAGATTGGATGGCTTTTGTACAGGCCAGGAAAAATAAAATCCTTGACTCATAGTCGTTTTGATGTAATTTAAAATACTCAGCCCTGCAAACTATATCAGAAACTGCAGTAAAGGAGTTCATCGAAATAGACCCTCAATCCAATAAATAAATATTTCTTTTATGCTGAAAACTTTTTCCAGAAACTCTCTCGTATGAAGGTTTCTCTAGAAAACATGCATCAAGTAAATTGGACTAGTTATTAAAACCGAAATGAAATGGTCAGTTCAATCGAAGATCCATTGAACCAGATTCTAAAATGGTCCACATAACTCCGTGGGACTGGTTTGCCATCAACCAGTCGGACAAGCCCAAAGGGAATCCATTCATCCAAACCAACTGACTGCACTTTCACACAAAATTTATACAATAGTTACTCCAAAGCTTACCTTCAATGAGGAAAAGAAATCAATTATTTAATGATTTTCTTTTCCTAATTGATTGAAAGTACTGGAAAACAGAAAGAAATTTTTTTTTTTTATTATTATATATAAATTTATATTTGAGCAATTAAGTATAAAACTCCAAAAAGTCACTCATAACTCTGTTGATAGGTAAAGCGAAATGAATTTCAACTGAGATAATCCTAATTTCTTCAGTTTGAAAGACAAATAAGAATAAGTTAAGCATTACAAGAATTCCATAAAGTATCAAATATAAGATAAAATAAAAATAAAAAAGAACAAATCTATCGTCTTCATCTTCCATTAAAACGACTCAGCATATTAATGGTAAAGGTTTATAATAAAAATGGCATAAAAATGTGTATAAAAAGAAAATCAACATGTAGATACTAAGAGAATACATTAGTTATTATTGTAAAACCATAAAACATTTAAAATTTTAATTTTATCAAAAAAAATTTATGCTTTATATTAGTCATAGGGTTCAAATCGTATCATTACAAAGTCATTATATAAACAAATTTTTTTGACGAAGTACGTTTAGGTACTGTGTAGATGTAATATATACGATATTTAATATCTATATAGATGTTTGGATTCAAAATAAACTCAATGTTTATAAAGGCCCAATCGCATACTCAGACATTTTACGGCTGTGAAGCTAAGCATAAGCTTGAGGCCAACTAAGTACAAACCAGTAAAATAATTTAAAACAATAAAAAATGCTTATAATGAATAAACGAAAATAAAAAAGTCTTAACTTGCAAACAAACACAACTCATTCCTAGAACAAATGCTCCATAAAACACTTATAACCTGTTTGGGCTCCATTAAAATGTGTTTTTGGGGAAAATATATTTTGAAATAGTGATTTTTTAAAAATGTGTGTTGTTAAAAAATGAAGAAAAATTGTTGGGCTTACATATAATATTATTTTATTGGAGAACGTGTGGTTAAAAAAAGATAGAAAAAAATGCATTTTGGATAAAATGGAGCCCAAACAAGGGCTTAGTTAAAAGCCATTGTTGAACTTGCAACAACCATCAACATTCTCTCCAGTGACCAGCTCAGCCTGAACCCTCTCCATCCACTCCTTTGTCCATGAATTATGATATCTTCTGTCTCGTGTATTATCCTCCTTGTATGTAAATACAGACACAATTCTAGAGGTATACTGCCTAGATAGACGAGCTTTGAGTGCTCAACCTTGGAGGATACTGTATCAAAGAAATCCTCAGATAGCATAACTTCTATCGAGTATCTGAATGCTACTTCAGATATCTCGTTTTCACAAGTTTAAACATTAAGCTTGGCTCAATTACCACATAAAACAACTAACAGTAATTATGAAAGAGAACAAACTACCTCCCATCAAACAAATAATTTGGAGAGTAACTTAAGCTTAAAATAAGACGAAACCAGGGAATTATTACCCCGAAATTCAACTTGCAATTGAGAAAAGCAGAACCGACAGCATTATAAATTATATACTCTCAAAGTACCAAATTTTTTATTAAAAAAAAAATATTACACAGATGGTTTGGGAAACAATTGAATCTTCAATAAGATGAAACCATGGAATACAAACCCTAAAATTCAAACCTTTAAATTAAGAAAGTAAAGCAACAACTTTATAAATTACATACACCACATAACCAATTCAAACAAACGAAATCAAAAAAGTAAAAAACAACGGAAGACAAGCTTCAGAAAAAAATAAAAAAATAAAAATTGAGATTGATTCGCGGTAACTTTTTACGAACCTTTGGGCGGGATCCTCATCGGCAGATTGATGGGCAGCGCGTGAACGACCCATGTTCTTGAATGGGACCAAACTTTCAAGAATAATAATCTAGGGCTCCAAACTTTTCACGAAGAAATGGCATAACACAACCTCAAAACCCAGTATTGACGAATTGGGTAGTGAATTTGCTGTTGTAGATTTACTGTTACTGCATCATTATGCATATTCCCATCCGACTGGAAAATGGATAGCGACAAGAATTCCCAGCTAAAGTGCCGTCGCACTCTATCTCAAATTTATTATTCACTTTTGCGCAATTTAAAATAAAATAACTTTAATTTTTGGCGGCCCCACCATTTTTCCCCCAAAAAAATAAATTTTATAATAATAATCTATTGTAAGAATTAGGGATGACAATTCAAATTGTTAAAATAAAAAATCACGATTAGTCAAACCGATGAATCAATGAGGTGAGTATGGTATTTGATTTTAATACTCCAATTTGGGACGGGATGGATATAGTATTTACGCCATTGCTACGTCCCGAACCAATTACCTATTAAAAAAATTAATTTGGTAATTGAGTTTTCCATTATTCTTTTTATGATTCTGTCCTGCCCAAAATTCTGGCCCATTACCGACCTGCTAGGTTCAACTAACCTAATCCAGTAACTCTGCATCCTATTAAACATATATGAAAATTGGAATCAATAGATTCAACACAACACATATCTAAATCACCGCCTTTTTGCCGCTATACAACGACCACCATTGCTTTTCGTCGCTACGACAACCACTAACGCCTCCACCAGCAATAGTCGTCCCCAAATCATTCTTCACCATCACTCCGTGACAAAAACAGAGACAGATCTTGCACCTTTCACGAGGAGCCTCCAAATTTTGTTGTGCAGTCAATCTCGCCGTAGTTACCGACGTCACCCATTGCGTGCCTCAATTTACAGCTTCTTTAGTCGCTTGCCATCTTGGATTAGGTAGTATGGTTGTATTATTACTTTCCTTACATTCCTTATTTACTATATAAGAATGAACTTTGAGTCTTACCTATGCTAGTAAGAGTTGTGGGAAAGAATAAAGATTGAATATGAATTGAGGTTGGAGCTTTCGAATAATTGAATAGGAATCAAGTTCAATGCACAAGGATCAAGGGACAAGGATATTGTTTAGTATTGTTATATTGATAATATTGTTTGTTAAATTCTAATTTTACATTTGAGAATTGTGATATTGTTTTGCTAAATTGTCTTAGTATTGTGTTTTTGTTTTCATTAACTTTTGTTCATAAATTATTATTTTTCCAATTTGACAGCTGGACCTATAAAAAATAATTTATTTTCGTGGTTATTAATTGCCTGAATCAAACCAAATCGAAATACGAACCGAGTCGAACCGAACTAACTTACGTAGTATGGTGCGATTATGGTATGGTCAAAAAATTGGTGGTTCAGTGACGACTTTGCCAAACCAACTCCGAACTGGACCGTTTCCAACCGTACTAAGAATGCATGATTAAAACCTAGAGAAAATATTTAAATTTAGGGATAAAATTATTTTATTAAAGAAACGTGTGATTGAAAATGAAATGGAAAAAAAAATTCTTGCAGATTGAGGCTTAAACGAGAACTTTATTTTTTTTAACAAATAAGTGGTTGATTATTCTTTTTGAAAATTATAGGAAAAGTTTTATATGAGCGATTTTTCCTCAAATTCAATTTCACGAACAGGTATTATGAAATTTCACAATTTTTATTAAATTTTTAATAATACATTTCATAATTTTTTTTTTTTTTTACCAAATCAACGAAAACAAAGTTTTTAATCAAACCAAATAAGGGCTAAATATTTCTTGTCATCACGTTTATCTAATTCTTAATTTAAATAAAAAATTATGTTTTCAATTTAAATAAAGGAGTTCCTGTTTTGCATAAAGATCAACATTTCAATAATATTTTTGTCAAAGCTAATGATTTTTTACTTTAGAAGTTGAAGATTCAACATTTTACTCAAGAATCGAAAATGAAGAAATCATGTTAGGGAGAACAATTTCACTTTCATGCAAGACTTGTTGACAATCATGTTAGAAATCGCTTTCTGTCCATCTTGACTAACAAAATTGTTTGCTATCACTTTTTGTACGCTAATGACATGTTTGTTGTAATTTTTTTAGCTAATAAATTTTGTGAAAAGTGAATTCTAAGACAATAAATAATTAAAAAGTAAGAAAATTTGTGAATTTTCGTGCAAAATAAATTTGAGAAGAAAATATGTTTTAAAGAATTTGTGCCAAATGAGACTAAAAATATACTAAATATTATAAATTATATGTTTATAAGTGAATGATCATTATATCTTTGTAGCTCTAGTTATTTTGACTATTATATTCCTTTCAATCCTAATTCTTTCTTAAGTCTTTGTTGCCTCGACAATAGAGGTGAAAAGCGTCTCAAAGGAAGCCCTCCTTGATATCTACGAGGCAAAACTCATTATCTCCGGATGTATCAGCTGCCATGTACGAAGTCATTGGCATGGACAAACCACCTACAATGCAAGGAATCTTCAATTGCCTCGATAAAAGAAGGACGAAGCATCCCAAAGGGAGCCCAACTTAAAAACTAAGAAATATTTGATTATTTTTATAAATGCATCATCCACCATGTAAGGAATAATTATTTACAAAAAACTTCATGAATTTTCATTTAGTTAGATGTGTTAACTCTTGTACATTTTACAATGCATGAACACTTATGAGATATGCAAAACTTTTATCATTATGTTTAGAGGTGAAATGACTTATCACACCTAATTCATTCAAGGTCAAATTGAGTGGAGGTCAGTTCACTATTTTAAGATGAGATGCTACTAATTGAAACATGGCAATCACACTTGAAAAAACTAACATATATGGAAAAGTAAGAGGCCACAACACTTGGAGAAAATAAAATATCCATTCAATAAAAGTTTGTTAGATGAGGATGAGGCTTAAGTCATTATAAGAAAAAGAAAATACAAATGCTTAAGGGTCTACAGTGATCCTCATCATCCACTACAATTAAGTCCTTCTCTAAAGCCACCTCGTTTCCAACATCTTTCTCACCTTGAGCTTCTTCAACATTGCCTCGATATTGAGTCCACCTCCAATTAGCCCACTGAACTCTTCCTCGAGAAGGTAAATATCTAGTTTTGGGTGAACCTCTACTAGGCAAGCTATCATCTCCTAGGCATTCCATAAGGCCCAATTGTTGGAGGAGTCGTCACAGTATTTGATTTTGTAAAAATTACCTACATAATTCTAGATGGTGACGCTTGCGACTATTTTTCCTCTACTTTAAGAGATTGAATCTTTGACTTGGGCCTCATTGGTTTGTCTCAACTCCGCATTTTCTTTATTCTAGGCTTTGAGTGCCTTGGATGCGAGAGGTTGGTGTTTATTAGACTAGTAAACTCTTTTCGTTAAGATCAACATCAGTATAAGGAGCACCTGAGAATATTGTTAGAAATTTTATGAAAGGAAAGATTTTATACCAAGTTCAAGATATGTGAATTTCGGCTCAACCGAATAGGATTTCTTTGTCACATAGTACTAGCAATGGAGTTGGTGTTGACCCGGCTAAGGTAGAGGTAGTAACTAAGTGGAACTGTCCCGCAAATGCGGTTGATGTTCATCATTATCTTAGGTTTAGTTATATATTATCAAAGATTCATCGAAGTTTTCTCTAATGTGACTGGACCAATGACTAAGCTAACTCAAAAAGGAGTAAACTTCCAGTGGCAGATAAGTGTGAATAGAGTTTCTAGAGTTGAAACGGTAGTTAATCAAAGCACTAGTGTTAGCTATTCCAGAAGGATCAGTGATTTTGTGATTTATAAATGATGCATCTATGTAGGGCTCGGGGTGTGTTTCGATATACTATGAGAGGATGATTGCACATGCTTCAAGGCAAATAAAGTAACATGAGCAGAAATACCTAAAGCATGACCTTGAGCTTGCGACGGTGGCTATGCATTAGAGTTATGGGGTCCTATTTGTAAGGAAGCAAGTGTGAAATCTATATCGATCATAAAAGTATCAAATATTTCTTTACCTAGAAGGAATTAAATATGAGACAAAGGAAATGGTTATAGTTGCTAAAGGTCTATGATGCACCATTTTGTATGGTCATAGTTGCTTTTGTGAATTACATTACAGCTCAAACAACTTCTATCAGATAAAAGGAAGGAATTTGAGGTGTTGTCGGAAAGGCATTAAAGTTCAAAAGAAGAATTTGTATGCCTAACTACAAGGTATTGAAAAAGGAAATTCTAGAAAAAGTACACTTTATCTCGTATACCACTCATCCTAGTGATACAAAGTGTATCAAGACCTTCGAAATATATTTTGGTGGAGGAATATAAAAAGAAGCATCAAATTTTTGTCATCAAGTATGTTGGCATTGTTTACTTAAACACAATTTGATGATAAATCATCTATTAATTAAGATTTTAAACACGTCATTCCTAGAAACAATTGAACCAAGGGAAGATTTTAGTTCGGTAAGTTCTACTGTGCTTAGGAGACACCATAATTACTAATTTGACTAGATGACAACATTACCTCTTCCTTGATCTATCTCGAGGAGACACGTAAAAAAGCTGAAGAAAGCACCTCATGACCAGCCAATTAAAAATCTACAATGATGGGAACAACTATAGTTGTCCCTAAGACCTGGGAGACCGACCTCTTCGTCCATTTAAATGTACCTAAACATAATGTAATGGTACACATATTAAGGAAAAACATTGTAGATGAAATGAGGTATGTAATTTGGTTACTGTTTATGACATTATTAAGTTGGCCAACTTGCTTAATATAGGCTTTAAATTGAGCTAAATGGTCACCTCAATGGACTACGAACTAAATACATTCCACGTTTATACTTTCGTTACATTTCAATTAATACAACATCACTTTCTTTTACTGCTCCAGCTAATTAACTCACACAAATCATCCATTAAGTTGATCAAAATTGGCCACGTCAATTATGAATGACAACATTGTGGCACTAGAAGAAGGGCCTTGTAATAGATAGCCGACAACTATTACTAAATTTCCTTTAACCTTTTCACTATAAAATTCTCCTAAAACCAATTATGAGTCACAGTTCGGCCTCCCAAAATTAGTCCTATACTAGCCCCACGAAACTAACATCCCGCAGGATTTTCAAAGGAAAAATGAATCCGCTGGGGTGATAATCCCAACTTACTATATGAAAGAAATCAAGTGGATGGGGATCTCTT